TCTAACCCAGTGGAGTGGCATACGATTACAGAAGAGAAGCGAGCCATCTCATTGAAGCTACAGTGGAGAGGGCCCGCCTGGAGTAGAAAGGTCTAGGACATAACCCTGGCTCTGCTACGAATGTACTGCATGACCTAAGGGTCTCCTCAACTCCGACACGCTTTCCATTTTTGGTCCAGTGTCTAAAATCGCTATTCGTAACCAATGGAGAATGCCCACTGGCATTTCTCTTTCATTGCTTGATCTGCCCTGGAATGTAGCATTATCGCGTGTGCGCTGGACACGGGCACATACCAGGACATGCACGGGCAGGCTTCACCCGGGGCTCAACTACTTACACCTGCAACAAAGACAAATTGCCCCTCAGCCCTTAAAGTTCAGGAAATCTGTTTCTTTTCTGAGTTAAATAAGGGCTAGCACCAAACTAGCCGGCACTCACCAAGGTCAGCAAGAGGCCTCCATTTTTTATGGTCTCCTTTCCTCCCCAACCTTGGACATTTGTCCCCTCATTCATTCAGGAAGCACACATTGTGCCAGGCACTGTTGCAGGCCCCGGGGGTTCGACGGGGAATGAAACAAAGTCCCTGCCCTCTGAATTTTGTCTCACAGAGGGGAGACAAAGAAGCAAATGCATAGCATGTCAAATGGTGACCAGGACCAGGGAGAGAGGTGAAGTGTAAAGGAAATGGGGAGCCTGGGGCACAAGGGGTGCTCCTCTGGAGAGTGGTCAGAGAACGCCTCTCTGACAGAGGTTTGTGAAGATGCGAAGGGAGTCAGAGAGTGAGTTAGATCAATGTGAGGAAGAAAGAGATTCCTGGCTAAGGGCCCAGCAAGTGCAAAGGCCCTGACGCAGGAGATTTTTTTTTTAATATTTTCATTTATTTCTAGGAGAGAGAGAGAGACAGCGTGAGCAGGGGAGGGTCAGAGAGAGAGGGAGACACAGACTCTGAAACAGGCTCCAGGCTCCGAGCTGGCAGTCAGCACAGAGCCCGACGCGGGGCTCGAACCCACGAACCGCGAGATCATGACCTAAGCGAAAGTCGGACGCTTAACCGACTAAGCCACCCAGGCGCCCCATGATGCAGGAGATCTTAATGTGTTTGAGGTCATACAGGGAAGGCAAGAGTTGGAACTGAGTGACTAAGGGGAAGTGGAGGAGGGAAGTGCCGGCCGCAGCTGGGAGCAGAGCAGAGCCTAGAAGCCACGCTAAGTCTGGCTTCCAGGAAGTGGGAAACCTTCGGAAGGCTTTAGCTGAGGACTGCAATAATCGGTCTTACAGTTTAAGGGGATCACGCCGGGGGCGCCTGGGTGGCTTAGTCAGTTAAGCGTCCGACATTCGCTTAGGTCATGATCTCGCGGTTCGTGGGTTCGAGCCCCGCGTTGGGCTCTATGCTGACTGCCAGCTCAGAGCCTGGAGCCTGTTTCAGTCTGTGACTCCCTCTCTCTCTGACCCTCCCCTGCTCACGCTCTCTCTCTCTCTCTCTCCTAGAAATAAATAAAAAAATATTTAAAAAAAAAAAGGGGGGATCACGCCGGCTACCGTGCGGCCTCGGTCTAGAACAAGGCAGATTTGGCCAGCTCACGAGCCACAGGTGGGCCTAGCCTAATACTGAAGGACACAGGTAAGTCCAAGCCCTCTGTCATGCTGTTGCCCTTTGACACACAGGATAGTGAAAAGAAAATGCTTGTTCACAAAAATTAAGACCTATCCCTTGCCACCCTCACCCTGGCTAATAAAGTGATTGAAATGACGTTCTCACTCACGCTAGGAGGGAACAAAGGACACCAGCTTGACAGGTGCCCTCCCTGTCCCAGCCTCCCACTCCTGCTGCCGCTGGTGGCCTGGCCCCCAGGCAGGCCTTCTCCGAGAGGTACTGTGCCTGCATCTGATCCCCAGTGTGATGGTGCAACCCCTCCCCCTGCTGAGGAACTGCCTCCTTCCTGCGCAGGGACCCCGCCCCGGGTCACAACCTCTCTGCTCGCGTGGGCTGCCGGCTAGCAGCCCTGGGGCAGAGGGGGGACACTTGGGGCAGTCAGCAGACATTTGCTCATGCGGACACGCCCCACGGTTATCTCTGCTTCAAGGCTCTGCGGCCGCTCCGACTCCAGGGGAGGCTGCCAAACACAGAACTCCAGAGGGACCCAGAAGGCAGGCGTCTGCCCTCCAGACTCAAGGAAAGTGCTCCCTTGCCCCTCACCGACCCATCTCTTCCACGAAGGCCTATCCTCACTGGGGAACAAACTGTCCCCTAGGCTGGACAAACCTCTTGCTTCCAGATTCTCCTCTGTTTCCTTGAGGGCCTTGGGCAGAGTGGGGGTGGGGAGCAGAGAAATATTTCCATGCTTTCTAAATCTATTTATCCTAACCCTGCTCTCTCTCATCTTTAACTTAAAAGGAAAGTATTTGCTGCCTTTGTTCTGGGTTTCAGACTTGCCTGGACTGGAGAAGGCCTGCAGCGGAGAAACAAGCCAGCAAGGAGGGTAGAGGATTAAGGCACCAGCCTTCACCCTGCTGTGGTTGTGCTTGTCCAGCCCCCAGACCTTCACAAATAAAGCCTGGCTGGAGTCTCTCACACGGGGCAACTTGGGCTTTTTTTTTTTTTTTTTTGGCCTAGAAATACAGAAATTACTGTGGGGCACCTGGGTGGCTCAGTCGATTGAGCGCCCCACTTCGGCTCAGGTCATGAGCTCACAGTTCATAAGTTCAAGCCCGGCGTGGGGCTCTCGCAGCCAGCACCGAACCAGCTTCAGATCCTGTCTCTGTCTCTCTGCCCCTCCCCCCCTCAAAAATCAACATTAAAGGGGCGCCTGGGTGGCTTAGTCGGTTAAGCGTCCGACTTTCACTTAGGTCATGATCTCGCGGTTCGTGGGTTCGAGCCCCGCGTCGGGCTCTGTGCTGACTGCCAGCTCAGAGCCTGGAGCCTGTTTCAGTCTGTGACTCCCTCTCTCTCTGACCCTCCCCTGCTCACGCTGTCTCTCTCTCTCTCTCTCTCTGTCCTAGAAATAAATAAAACTTTTAAAAAAATAAACATTAAGAAAAGAAGAAGAAAAAGAAATACAAAAGCCACTGTTAACCCCTTCCTAGGGCAAAGGAGACCCAACACAGGAGCTGGGTCCCCCTTCCTACAAGGGGCAGCGAGAACAGTGAAGGGCTTGCCTCTTTCTTTTGGCTGATGAGCACATGGCAGGAGAAAATCCTAGACACCGATTTCTTTCCCAATATCTCACCCCGTTACACATTTAGGTCATAAATTCACAGCAGCAATAGCCCCTAAGAGAACTTCTCAGAGGACCCACTAAATTCTGATGGCCAGGCACCATGCCAAATGCTAGAGATGCAATAAATAAAACAAAGTCCCTTCCCTGAAGGGGTTCAAAGTCTACTCAAGGAGACAGCCATTCAAGCAACGAATCTCAGCCTTTGAGGGCTGTTATCATGCGTGGTGCCATGGGGACGCAGCGGAGCAAACCCAGGTCCAGAAGGGGAAGTCTTCTCAGAGGTGGTGACACGACATAGTGTTTTAAAAATAACTCTATTTCTTAATAAAAATGACACTTGATTTATAGAATAATTCAAGCAATAAAATCCTAAGAAGAAAGTACCAAAAGGCCTCAAGCCCCAGAAATAACCAGTATAGACTCTTCACATGGATTTTATTGGAATTTTACGAGACAAAGAGGAGCTGCCATCACAGTGGAGGAACCAACACAAAGATCCCAGGATGTAGAAGTGACAAGAGCCAGGTCTGCGTGGAGTGCAAAGTGCCCGAAAGGAGACGGGGTGGCACCCGAGGCTAAGCGTGGAGTGTGGCCGGACTGCATCTATGCGTGTGCAAAGCGTCTCGGGCCACATGGTGGGAGACTTCCCATAAATATGCGTGGCACCTGGGTGGCTCAGTCAGTTGAGCACCTGACTCCTGGTTTCGGCTCAGGTCATGATCTTGTGGTTTCATGGGTTTGAGCCCCACGTTGGGCTCTGTGCTGGCAGCGTGAAGCCTGCTTGGGATTCTCTCTCTCCTGTGCTCTCTGCTCCTCCCCGATGCTATCTCTGTCTCTCTCAAAATAAATAAATAAACTTAAAAATATATTTAAAAAAAAGAATAAAATAAACACGGCAGGTAGGCAGGCTAAACATCAAGAGAGGAAGAGAGAAAGACCAAAGGGAACAGTCCATTAAAGAATAAAGAAATGAGCCTAATACATAAGGAGGTAATCATGCAATAGCGGCCCCCATTTAATGAGCTCCTACACAGGCCACGGCCTAAGCTAAGCATTTTTCATAGTTAGCCCAATTAATTTGCACAACATCATTACCCAAGTAGTATTATTACTGTCATTTTACACCCAAGGAAACACCCAAAAAGATTAGAGGACCTGCCCAAGATCACCCAAGTAGGTCATTTAGGATCTGAACTTGCATTGATACTCTTAACACAGTGTTTCTGTCTTTCCAGACTCTGAAAGGTTTTGGGTATTAGTAACATCCGGCTGAGTTAGCACAGAGCCCCTCCCCCTCAAAGGGCTTTGCTCACTTGGATGCATAAGTTCTGTCTGTTTAAAACCAATCTTAATACTTTAGAATCCTGTGTTGCATTCCACTCTAAAATCATTTAAATCAGGTTAGAGGGCAACACCAGAGCAATCAGATTGGAAACATATGCCCTATGTCCCAGGAACGAGTCGTTTTCTTCCATTATCGTGGTGAATGACTTCACACACCTATTTCATGTTTTCATTTGTTGGTTTGATAGGTTGTTGCACGATGGGGAGGGAAAGGATAACATGGTGCCAGGGAGCAGCTGGGTCTGGAAACCCAGAGCAAAGCCTCCTTTCAGAAGGCTGTTCTCCTCAAGTGTGGGGGAGGAGAGAGTCAGGAGACCCGGAGGGAAGATTAGTCTGACTCAAGCATTCTGGGTAGATAAGAGAAGCAAGGTCTTAAGATGATCACGCAAGAGAATTTCTTTAAAAAAAAATTTTTTTTTTAAGTAGCAGCTCAGAGGTCTGGTTCCATTGGCCCTTCTCTTATACCACCTTCCAAGTTCCTAGTTCGCACAGTCTTCTGGCCAGAGGCTCAGGACAGGCCTGGGGGGGCCTAGCCTCTCTCTGCCACCAGTCCCAGCCACCAGGGCCATGGAGTGATGGATCCCCCTGTCCTGAGGAGTCCTGGCTCTACGCAGCCCCCATCCAAAGGACAAGCAGGCAGAAACCCAGGTTTCAGCTCTCGAACCCGCTGCCTCTGAACCACTTCTGCTTCCTACCAGGTAAGGCTGCGTGGAGGGAGGGCAGAGGGCACCTGGAAAGGCTGAGCCCCGGGGACAGTTGGCCAGGACCCCCCTGCCGCCCCCATCCCCTGAGGGCCCAGTGAGAGCCTGGATGCGTGGGACAGGGGTGGGCAGCCCCGGGAAGTCATGAGCCTCAGTGTCGACTGGGAAGAGACGGGAGAGAGGCATGGTGCTGAGGCACTGTCTGTATTCCGTGCCGTCCCTCTGGGAGTCCATTGCCTGTGGAAAGCCAAGTCAGAGGCCCTTCTTTTTTTTTTTTTTTTAACATTAAATCATTTTTGAGACAGAGACAGAGCATGGGGTGTGGGAGGGGCAGAGAGAGAGAGGGAGACACAGAATCCGAAGCAGGCTCCGGGCTCTGAGCTGTCAGCACAGAGCCCGACACAGAGCTGGAACTCACAGACTGCGAGATCATTACCTGAGCCAAAGTCGGACGCTTAATGGAATGAGCCACCCAGGCGCCCCTCAAAGGCCCTTCTTCACATCCTCATAAGAGTCTTAGTGGCCCCGGGGCGCCTGGGTGGCTTGGTCGGTTGAGCGTCCGACTTTCGCTTGGGTCATGATCTCGCGGTTCGTGGGTTCGAGCCCCGCGTCGGGCTCTGTGCTGACTGCCAGCTCGGAGCCTGGAGCCTGTTTCAGAGTCTGTGATTCCCTCTC